ACTGGTTTCCCGATGCTAACTTATTGGTGTTTTTTTTCTTACACTGGCTCCTCAGATGTCCTTGCTCCCCACAGTTCCAACAGCCTTTCTGGGTAGCAGCCTTTCCTGCTGTATCATGTCCCCTGTGCTGAAGTGCCAGCATTGAGCTCTCTTGTGCCCAGGCTTGTTACAGTGCCAGCAAAGTCTCTCAAACCTCTCTGAAAGCTGACCTTTTCTGGCCTTGAATCCAGATGACTGTACCAACCTTGGTACCTCTGTGCTGGACTTAACGTAGGTTTCAAATTCGAGAGCTCTAGCCATTGCATCCAGCATGGTAGAGGGGTGTGCTTACTTCACTTGTATCTTAAGTTGTGGACTGTCCAAAGCATCTACGAACTGATCCCTCAGCAACAACTTGAGGAGATTGGGTGGTGCAGTTGGGTAGGCCTTGTGTGCCAACTCATGCAGGCTCTCCCCTTTAGCATGAACTCTCGTCCTAGACCTAGCCCTGTAGACTTCTGACTGATTTTGGGTTCCGTACCTAAGTTCTAGAGCCGCTACCAGTGCTCTATAGTTGTGTCTGTCGTCTGCTGACAACTGTCCAAGTATTTCCAGTGGTTGTCCCTTCAAGCTCGTTGCAAGATATACTGCTTTCTGCTCCTCTGTTCATCCATTCATCTCTGACAGTAGCTCAAATTGTGCTCTATATGCTTCCCACGGTGCTTTCCCATCATATTCCTGTGGCTTCCTTCTTACTGAATCACTCCTATTACTGACATTCATATCTGGAATGTGACTTCTAACAGGACTGAATATGTCTGCATTAGGGTTTAGCTGCAGGGTCTGAAAGGGGCTTGTCATTGTCTGGGGCTGATTAAGTCGATGGTTAATGTATCCTCCTTGTGTAAAAGACAATAAATCATCCTTTAACGTATCTAATTCGCTTTTAAATTTACTAATGTTTTCCATTTGTACTTCTTGTTTCCTTTTTTTGTTCCAGTTGCCACTGCTGTAGTCTCTCTTCTTGTTTCTTTTCTTTATCCTCTAACAACTGCTGTAATTTCTCTTCTTGTTTATTTTTATTCTCCTCTAACAACTGCTGTAATTTCTCTTCTTGTTTATTTTCTTTCTCCTCTAACAACTGCTGTAATTTCTCTTCTTGTTTATTTTGTTGTTCGAGCTGCCACTGTTGCAGGTTTTCTTGCAACTGCTGTTGTCTCTTTCTTGTTTCTTTTTCCTCTAAGAATTGCTGTAATTTCTCTTGTTTATTGTGCTGTTCGAGCTGCCACTGTTGCAGGTTT